TTTTCTTGGCTATTAAATGTACAAGGTACACATTAAAGTACTCATTTTTATGAACCACATTCTCTTCAGCTAGTAAGTAGTTCCTAAGTATTTGTTTCTCTAAATAACATCACAACATTTTAATATTGAAATCTCTCTATGGGTGGACACGTTAGTTAGCCACATTCTTTTATATGCGGGTGGCCGTAATGCCCACCCAGATGTTTTGTTGGTGGCTTCTTGCAGGAAAAGAGATTTATGGTTTGACTTCCTAGCTACTAGGCCTGGGACTAAATATCCGGATTCGGCGGATATTCGGATCAGGATCCGTTATCCGATCCGGATCCGTTATCTGATCCAAAAATCCGGATATCCGGATGACCGGATCCGGATCCGGATCTCATGAAAATTTAGGAACGGATATCTGGATCCAATTATAAATTATATAATATTTAGATTTTCATCAGATCCATTAAAATGAAGCCCAATATTATACCATAAAACCAAAAATGAAATTAAAAAGCCCAATCGATTATCTCTCTCCAAGTCACGACAATATTAAATGAAAAGACCTAATTAATTATATCTCTCTTCAAGTCACGACAAACACTTCTTCTTCTACCTTTGTCTCTTTTTTTGTTCTTCCTTCGTCTCTGATTCCTTCCGAAAAGACCAAAACATAGTGTTTGATTCGTCTCTGCGAGGATTTGTTGTGGAGGAGGAAGTATAGTATTGTTCGTTGAGTGCAATTTCGGTGACGAATTGGCGGGATTGGTGTGAGATCTAGAAGATTTTGATGGCCATGGCAGATCTCTAGCGGCGGTGAATAGAGAACGGATCAGTGAAAGGAAGCGTGGTGGATCTGTTATGTAGTTGAGAGATCTGGTGGTTGAGCTCGTGAAGAATCTTAGCAATCGTGACTTGGAGAGAGATTGGGATCGGATCCGGATATCCAGCGGATATCCGGTTTTTCTTACGGATACCCGGAAACCGAATATCCGGGATTCTCGGATCCGGATCCGGATAGTAATATGACAGATCCGCCGGATCCGGATACACTCAATTTTGCTGGATATCCAGATCCGTCTCAGGGCTACTAGCTACCAACTACATTTTTGAGTTAAAAATAGTTTTTGATGGAGAAATATCTTGCTTTACCATCTTAAGTGTACTTTTATTTTGAGGTTTTGAGATCTTTATTCTTTTGGATATTTTAGGTAGCAACCTAGGCTGCATGGAATCGGAAGCGGGTACGTGGAAGCGGAAGCGTTTAGAAGCGGAGAAACGAGTTTTTTTAAAAAATTAGGAAGCGGGTACGTATTGGAAGCGTAAATATATATATATTATATATATATATAGAGATTTATTGAATATTTAATTTACTTTACACTAATCTTTCATTCGAATAATAGAAAATCAAATGATTACAGAAACTTAATTAATAAGCTTCTCAAAACCCTAACGCCACCACTACTCTGCTTCTACGGAAAAAAAGTCAATGACTTTTTGACCCAAGGATTAGAGAGAGAAAGGCACTGAGTAGAGAGAGAGAGAGAGAGTGTGTTGTGTAGTAAATGAGACGAGAGATTGGTGGTGAAAGGAGTCAGCTTTGCATTTATTATCATCATCTTCTTCTCTAAAATCTTCCCAAAAAAAAAAAAAATACAGAGCAAAAGCTTTCACAAAATTCATCTTCTTCCTTTCACAATTTTGGGATCTGACTGTTTGTTTGAAAATTCTGCTAATTCTCTTCCGTGAAAGTCGTTTACTTTTTTGTGGGTTTTGTGAAAGTTTCCGTTTTTAGTGGCTTCTCTTGATCTTCTTCAAGATCTTCACTTTTTAGGGTGTTTTTCCTCTTATGGGCTAGAGATCAACACCAGCGACGCTTCCGATCTACCGCAACGGCGCTTCCAACTCTGAATCGTCGCTTCCACGACGCTTCCAAACGCTTCATTTTGGGAATCGCGATTCCAACGCGATTCCGAGCGATTCCGATGCGCTTCCGCTTCGCTTCCGCTTCCGGAGCGAGAAACGTAGCTTCACAGACGATTCCGTGCTTCGTAGGTAGCAACGCTGAACAGTCGATAGTATGGTCGGTATCAGGAGAAAGCATGTCTCAGTTCGGAAAACTGGGTGCTGTCCTCATGGTCTACAGGTTATGCCATAAGAAAGGTGACCACTGGACATCAAGGTGCTAACAGAAGGATCTCTTAGCCTTAATGGACGAGCCTTTAACAGCACAAACTTCTACACTGACTATAGCTGGAACTGGAACTGGCAGTGCTGCTTATGTCTCACCAAGCATGAGAGAAGGTGCAGACAGAAAAGCTGGTGGTTCAGACATGAGGAGTAGAAATGAGGGGAACTGACTGTCCGTGTGACTAATTTGTCTGAAGATACCCGTGGACAGGATTTGATGGAGTTGTTTTGTCCGTTTAGTGCTGTAACCTGTTGTCATGTAGCCATTGACCAGAAGACAAGCATGAGCAGAGGATTTGGATTCGTCAATTTTGTCAGCAGGGAAGATGCACAGCGAGCAATCAACACATTGAATGGATATGGTTATGATAACCTCATTCTTAGGGTTGAATGGGCCACTCCTAAACCCAATTAGATCTTTTTCATTCTCTAATGATAATATTCTTTGTAAGATGTTAATGCATATGAATTCTTAACTATAAATTCTCGAGATAAATAGGATTCATGTTGGTCTCTGAATTTGATTTACACTTGCAGTAACCATGGGTCTAATTGCTGAATTTGCACTCGTATGAAAGTTCCTACTAAATGCATTTCTAGTGAATACGTGCAAAAAGTAATAAAACTCTCTTTAATACTGCAAGCATGTTAAAACTTAGAAAAGATTTATAAGGGTGAAGTCATTTCCATTTTCCATTGACCATTTTACCAATAACCAAGTAAAAATCATCAAATTCAAAGAGATGGGAAACAAGGATTCGAAAGGCTCTTCTACGACCGATCTGAAAGAGGTGATTGTGGCTACACCTCAGACTCAACAGCAACAACAGTCACCGCAATTGATCCGAAAGTCGCAACCACAGCAGCCACATTCATCTGAGATGCCTCTTCTCTAACCCTGTTACAAAAAAGAATACTACGAGAAAATGAGCGAAGAGAAAATCGCTATGCTCTTAGAGACTTACGGAATCATGACAGTCCCTGGTGATTTGGCTAACAAGAGAAACTTTGCTTTTGAAACCTTTCGTTGGGATCATAAGAACAATCACCCTAAAGCTTAACAACTAACTACTTGTATAGTACAATAAAACTAACGTTTTATGATTGGACCTAAACACATTCATAATTCTTTCATCGATTCACAAGAAAATATAAAGAGAATATATACAAAGTAACCATGGATTCAAAAATAATATACAAACTAACCATGAGCTACAGTAACATGTCTGTAACATGTCGGAATGCATGTGTAATTACGTAAATGTCCTTTGTAACACGCTTTCTTTTCGAATTACATGTGATAACATAATATATCTCTTTTTATCATGTATTTTTCTCGTACTACACGTTATTTATAAAGAACACATAGTATTTCTTGGAAAAAACATTCTATTCATTGTAATATCTATCTTTATCATGTTATTTTGTAATAATACACATGTTTTATTAAGATCACATGTGATTTCTTTTAAAAAAGATGATTATTTTTTAGTAATACACGATTTTTATTAAGATTACATGTGATTTCTTTTTAAAAAGATTCTATTCAGATTAATTTTTTCATAACAATATTTTTTCTTAAAAAGCCACTACATAACAATGTTTTTTCTTAAAAATTCACTATGTTTTTTGAAATATCATGTCTTTTAGTTCAATATAACATGCGAAGTTTAAATGTTACATGTTATTTTGAAAAATCTCACGAAACTGTCTCGCATATCGTTGATCTCGCAACAAACAAAGGATAGTTTTGGTATTTCACATCATCCGACAACGTGGGTCCATAACTATTTTGCAACAAAAAAGTTTCTTTCTGCTATTTTCTTAATTTAAGTGTTTTATTTGGCTATTCCCTAATATTACCCAAATATAAATCATAATGCTACTACAATAACGAATATTATAATCACTTTAGCATCTCTTGAACAAGTTTCTAAGAATCCAAGAGATGTTAAAATATTAGTTAGATAACCAGAAGCAATAATTCACATATATATATACATGAAAAATGTTACTCTTTATCTATTAAGATGAAATGTATATAATGTAAATCTATTTGTATAATATAGTAGATAGTTAAATTGTTATAGAAGATGTGGAACAAAAAAATTTGCATTACAAAATATAAAATGCATGAGGTTCAAATCCGGCTCGGGAAAAATATGAATTACCATTTAGAATTTTATATGTATTTCCAAAACCTGCATATTTATGTGAGACCTTTATATTGTGATAAACTATAAATAAAAGGCTCATACCAAAAAAAAAAAAAACTAAATTAAAAGTTTGTGTCAGACTTAAATAAGGCAGAATGTGGTGCTTACACTTGAACAAACTAAATCTTATTTAAATTAATAAAAGCAAATAAATAAACTAAGAGTGGATGTAGTTATAACCCGTTCAACACCAATGTTTATCTTTGAATATATTAGGATACAAAGATTTTTAGTTATTTTTTTTAAAAAAATGTATATCTTTATAAATCACTTTAATATGTCATGAGGTTTTGCTAATTTAGGTTATTCTAAGTAAATAAATATTTAAATTATTTTAAGCTACTATATATGTTACTATATACTCCCTGTGTTCTTTATTAATGTAGTTTGTAGGATTTTCACATATATTAAGAAAACATATTAAAAATTGATTATAAATATATTATTTATGTGATTAACAATTTTTCATAACTCTAAATCAATAGTATTCAAATAGATTGTTCTTGAAATGTACAATTCATTAATAATAACTAATAAATATTGCATAGAAAACTTAAAATATTTATTTTTTTGAAACTAATTCTTTTTTTTTTAATAATAAGGAACAAAGGGAGTATAAATTATGAATTATTGAAAGATAATGTCATCACTAACAAATCATAATGATAAACTCATCTAAAAAAAATCTCATAGCCACCATCTCTTCAATATTTACTATATGTATAGTGATGATATATGTGACATGCTATGAAACGTTTTCAACAAGATGGAGAACCATTTCCAACTAGAGGGCCTCTTACGACGATCACGGTACGAAACAATAATGACTATTTGCTTGGAATCCACCGTAAATCTAAAGATGATATCTCGGTTTCCACGTTCTCAAAAAAGGTGAATTATATGGTTGGAAATTTCATGTAAACGTACGAAATTCAACACTTTTGTTTTCTGTGGATTTAGCCAAGGACAACATAATAAAGGCGTGTCCGAGATTTACAGGGCGAAAAGAGATTTTTATAGATGTAGAAACTGTATATGGGATGCAACAAAAGATGGTCTTTATGGTTATAGCAACTTGCCTCAAAAAGTTATATGGTTTTTCAAGTGGTTAAAGTAGTATTAAATTGTATTTTTGATTCAAATATAAATAAAATAATGTTTTAAGAACTGTATAAAATTTGCATATGATGTTGTTAACCTAAAAATAAAAAATTGTTGTGAAGTATATTAGAGCAAGTTTTAGCAAGAGAGCGAATAAGATATATGTGAGCCAATAAAAGTAGAAACATCAAGAAGTGTGAATGGCGGCTGGCTGGCAAAGAAGTTGCTATGGGCTGGTTGATCAAAAGAGGGACATGCTTGAAAACATGTACTCGCATATCCAAAATAAAAATTATCTCTATCAAACCGATGAAAGTTCAGTAAAATATGGAAAGGGAGATAGTCTAAGGATATATTAATTTTAAATATTATATTATTATTATTTTATGGATAAAATTTGAGAAAATATTCAATTGTTATTTGTTTTAATTAACATGCACCTAAAATTAAAAAATCATATTAATCCATTTTAATTTTATTAGGAAGATCCTCACTTAATTTAAAAGATAACTATATCCTCAATTAATTCTATTCTTAATTATTTTTTATTTATATTTTCTTATATTTTCCTTCTGATTTTCTTATATTTTCCTTCTTGTTTTCTTATATTTTCTTTATAGAATTCATAGCCAAGCACTATATGTACTTATGTAATCTCTGATCCGCTTTCGCTTAAATAATCTAGACCTACTTACAAGAAGAAAACAAATTCAAACCGGAAAACCAAACATTACCGAATGATTACTTAAACCGGTTATCTAACTTTTAGTTACATTGGCTTTGAATGTGATTTTGGATGGTCAAAAGGATATTCAGTTGGGAGTGGACCGAGACGGCAAAAACTCTTTTTTGGTAAGGCAACCCGCTTGGCCGTTAATGGTAGCTTCCAACCTGCCCCGGCCTAATAGTATTTAGAACCCTAGGACCAAAAAAATACAAAAAATATTGGACCCTTAACTATATACACTAAATTTTATGTATATATTTAGACTTATTTAATTTAAATATATTTGTTTGGGTCGTTTTAAACTTTATTTCTGAAAAATGTATCGTAATATACATTTCAATGTTAAGAAATTGGGCTATATTTTAAAATAAAAATGAGTCTTAAACATAAGAAAATTTTTAGATGGTCCCATGGACCACTATCCATTTGCCCTACGCATTTGGACCGGACATGTTCCCACCAGATAATGTCGGCAGGGCAGTCTCTCACCCATGGCAACATAGGCATTTGCCATGGGTCCAAAATTTTTTTCTAAAAATTTTTTGAAAAAAGGGCCCAATTTTTAGAATTTTTTTTTTAGTAAGAGAACTTAATTTTTTTTAGTTTTGCTAAGGGTCCTCCCAAAGATTGAGACGACACTGAATGTCGGTGATGGTATCGAGCAGCTTAAATGAGCCTTCAAGATGTGATCTTCTTCTTGAAATTCTTTTCACAATCTTTTCTTCGATAGTTTTGAGACGGTGGCCGGAGATATTTTACTGGAGTTCTTGGAGGTAAATCAGACCCAGAAAGAAAAGGATGTGAAATTAGATGTTACCTTAAACGAGGTCCTAAATAAAAAGAAGAGACGTGTGAGATAGAGAAAGGGCCTTGATAGTAGCCCATAGATACGTCCCTTCATTGTTTTTTGCCCAATAGGAATCTGTATTTCACGGCCGACGAAACTCACTTTTGTTTGTTTTTTTTGACACGGTTATGAGCAAATAAATACTCTAATTTTTGACGTCTCATAACATTATTAAACACACAAAAGCAACGATCTCTTTGCATTTCTCCCAGATATATAAAATTGATTTGAAGTCTCAATAAATTAACACTCAAATATAAGAAGCCAATTCATTTAATGCCTCCACTCCAGCAATTCTCTTCTGCAAACATGTCGAGAAGTGAAAGTGGTAAGAATTACCTCTCATTATACTGCAAATATTTTTTACTATAGTTACTATTGTTTGATAATTAGTAACAATGTTTAACTATAAAAAAAATAGTGGTTCACAACATTGGTTTAAACCCTATTATGGAAACAGTTCATACCTGGAATTCGAAAAAATGTTAACAAGGATGACTATGATAGATATATCATATATCAACACTCAGGGTCGGCCCATAGCTAAAGCCCATGAAGCAAGGGCTTTAGGCATCAAATAATTATAAGTAGATTTAAGGGCATCAATTTTTAAAATGTTACTATGGTCTAGTGGTTAGTTTGAAGTCTTTTGTTGTGGAAAAACAGTCTATTTCTCCCCGAGAAGTATCGCATCATAACAGATAGAGCCCAATCTATGACTACATGCTAAATGTCTCCGAAACAATATTTGTCAACCTATATCTCCCCGAATCCATAGTTTTCATCTATTTTCCCATAAATCTAGGTTAAATCGGTTTACGAACTAAATCTAATAGAAAACCAATCAAACCGATACCAAACCACTTATATCAAACTTTCTTTTGATATAGAAGGTTTCAATAATTTAAAAAAAAAAAAAAAAAAAAAAACGAAAAAATTGCAGCACGTTGTTCGTCTCTTCTTCATTCTTAGTCTTCAAAGTCCAAATCTTTTTGAAAACATTGAAGCACCGTTAACAATCTCCAGTGCCTTATCCACGTCTCTATTTTTGCAAACACCATTAATTACTGTGTTGTTATTGAAGATAAACTCGTTCAATTGCAACATTGCAAATACAACAATCTAATTACCCCAAATCAACATCTCTATTATTACATTTGTTTTATTGAATTATCTCTCTGTTTGTTCGATTTCTCATCTTAAAATCAATTGGGAAACAAAGTACAAAACCCATAAAAGAATCAACACAAACCATCAAGCCGACAATGGCAGATTCAACGATGAATTTTCAATTTGGATGGGATAATGTCGGATGGTCTCGAGTCGGGTTTAATCAAAGCCGATGAAGCTCCAATAGTGAAGCAGATCAGGGCGGAGAGGAGGAACAAGAAGAAGAGGGGAGCTGCTGCAAAATAGATTTATAGCCACCATCACCGGCATCGACATCACTGTTCACCGAAGGGGAACGAAGAAGAAAGCCATCGTGTTTTTTTTTTCTTAATTATTCAATAAAAATTGCCCAAACATATTATACAATTAATTAAATTAAATGTATTCGGTTAAATCGGGTTGTCAACGGGTTTAATCTGGTTATAATTAGGTTTAGTTGGTTTGTTTATCGATTTTGAATACAGTAAACCGATTAAACCCAGTTCTGTGTGGCTTTAGCTCTCGAACTATTAAATCGGGGACATTCAGGTATTGAACTTTGAATTCATGGGAAAATAGGAATAGAACTTTCATTTCATGGATATTAGGACCGAGGTTAAAGTTTGGGCTCTATCTGTTATGATGCAATACTTCTCGGGGAGAAATAGACTGTTTTTCCCTTTTGTTGTACAGGTCACGGTTTCGAATCCCAAACATGTTAAAACTTGTATTTTTTTTTAATAACAGTTTTTCTTAATAGGCCAAATTTTTTTTTGCTTTAAGCACTCAAATAGTTTGGGCCGGCCCTGTCAACACTAGAGCTACTCTTCCGACAACAGAGAAACATCAAAACGGTGATGTATCATCAAATGGGTCAATTGGATCAAAAGAGAAAAGCAACGTGGGCCGAGTCAACAACACAAAACCCACGAAGCCCATTTGGATTCATATGGCACCTTCACCAACGGCTCTTTCACATTGAGACTCGGAAGTTTGGAGACTCAAAAAATAATCTAATTAGAAACGTGTTTGAACAAAACACAACCACTATGTTCAAAATATATTTTCAGACATAGTAAGATTTTTTTTTTTTTTTGGTAGTAGTAAGATTTTTTAATATGTTCAAAATATATAGATATATTACAATTCATAAAATTAAAAAACTTAACATTTGTCCTAGCCTAAATGGAGAGAAGACTAGCCTAAATGGAGAGAAGACTCTCCCAAAAACGAATTATTTAACATTTGTCCTAGCCTAAATGGAGAGAAGACTCTCCCAAAATTTATAGTATTATTTTTGTTATTTTAACATCTTATATATTTTAAATAATTCGTTTTTTATTTATTTAATTTTTCTATTAATTATAAGTAACATAAATATGCACTAAATGAATATTTTAAATTTATTTTAATGTAAAATAAATAGTGTTGCTTATGTGGATGATGATGTGGATAGCCTAAATGGAGAGAAGACTCTCCCATTATATATATAGATTTTCCTTATAGAATTCATAGCCAAGCACTATATGTACATATGTAATCTCTTATCCGCTTTCGCTTAGATAAAAATGAAAAATCTAGACCTAATTACCAAAAAAAAAAGAAATTTCAAACTAGAAAACCAAACATTACCGAACAATTACTTAAACCGGTTATCTTATTTTTGGTTACATTGGTTCTGAATGTGATTTTGGGTGGTTCAAAAGGATATTGAGTTGGGAGTGGACCGAGATGGCAAAAACTCTTTTTTCGTAAGGCAACCCGCTTGGCCGTTAATGGTAGCTTCCACCCTGGTCCGGCCTAATAGTATTTAGAACCCTAGCTAGGACCAAAAAAAACATATATGTATTGGACCGTTAACTATATACACTAAATTTTTTTGTATATTTAGACTTATTTAATTTAAAAATATTTGTTTAGGTCCTTATAAAGTTTATTTCTGAAAAAATGTATCGTAATATACATTTCAATGTTAAGAAATCGGGATATATTTTAAAATTTTTAAATAAAAATGATTATTAAATAGAAGTAAATTTTTAAAATTTTGATGGTCCCATGGACCACTATCCATCTGCCCTACGCATTTGAACCGGTCCTGTTCCCACCGGATAATTCTGGCGAAGGTATCGAGGACCTTACATGGGCCTTCAGGATGTGATCTTCTTCTTGAAATTCTTTCCACAATCTTTCCTCGGATAGTTTTGAGATGGTGGCCGGAGATATTTTACCAGAGTTCCTGGAGGTAAAGAATTTACAAACTTTGAAGAAACTCATCATATTGTTTTTTTCCCTC